CTAGACACGTGCGCCGCCACACATTTCATTACTGAGAATGTCGCGTAAGAGTCACGCTTACCGATTGAACCACATTCAATTCCCATTCATGCTATCAATGACACCATAACTCGAACGACAGGCGTTATCGAGATAAACGGAGTCGGTAAACGAAATAGACTGCGAAAACCATTATGTCCAAAACACCAAGCGCGACGAATCGGGACGATATATTGTACGTTTACCCTTCCGCGAAGAAGGACACGATTACACTCACCTACGCGGTATAGCCCTACGTCGGTTCCATAATCTCTGGAAGAAGTTACACGCGAATATCGAACTCTGGAAGGAATATAAATGGATTATGCGGGAATACATCGATTTAGGACACATGTCGATCGTCGAAGAAAAACCTATAGGGGGTTGCTATCTTCCCCACCACGCGGTCATTAAATCATCTAGCGTGACAACAAAGGTACGGGTCGTATTCGACGTCTCCGCAAAAAATGATAAGAGACTTTCTCTTAACGACACCTTATTAGTCGGACCTACAATACAAGACACTTTAGTAGAACACTTGTTACGATTCTTGATGTATCAATACGTATTAACGGCGGATATCGAGAAAATGTATCAGCAAATATGGATTCATCCAGACGATCGCCAGTATCAACGGATATTTTGGTGGCATAATAAACAAATTCGCACGTTCGAACTAAATACGGTGACATTCGGAATAGCGTCAGCACCATTTCTTGTCATACAAACCATAAAACAACTCGCGAAAGATGAAGGCGCTAACTATCCACTCAAAGCCGAAATACTAAACCGCGATCTATACGTTGACGACCTCATTACGGGAGCTGATAACATCGAAACCTTCGGAAAGAGACGCGATCAAACTATCAAAATATTGAAACAAGGCGGTTTAATATACGACAGTGGGCGTCTAACTTCCGACCAGTGCTCGAAAATTTAGACATAAAAAACGTCGACGTCAAGCTATGCTCTGGGGAAAATCCTATTTTAAAGACACTCGGTATTTCATGGAACGCACATCATGATTGTTTAATCTACTCTGTCGCGCCAGTAGACATTCGCAAAAGAATTACCAAATGACGATCTTCATCCTAGACTGCTGGAAAACACACGTCGACTGGGACGAATCGGTGTTTAGCGCGTTACATATCTCTTGAATAACGTTCGCGGAACAATTAACATTAATTGATAATTTAACGATAGAACGACGCATTACACTCGACAACCCGATCGACATGCAATTGCACGGTTTCTGCGACGCGAGTCAATCTGGTTACGGCGGCTGCCTATATGTAATATCGCGAGATGAGTTCCTTAACACACATGTACGTCTACTTTGCGTGAAAAGTCGCGTAGCTCCCCTTAAGGACACCACCATACCACGTATAGAATTACGCGAAGCATTAACACTCGCGCGTTTATACAGAGAAGTCCGGACTGCTGGCGGATTGAAACCTGACGAGGTAACATTCTGGTCCGACTCGATGATTGTACTGGGTTGGCTAAAAAGAGACTTTAGTACGTTAAAAATATACACGGCGAATAGCGTGCGCGAAATACATGAAATCTGGTAAGATATCACATGGCGACCTGTGCGATCCGAAGACAACCCAGCGGACGCTTTATCTAGGGGACAACTTCCGCACGATTTCCTGAGGAACGAGGCATGGTTTCATGGACCACCCTGGCTCACACAACCAGAGACTCAGTGGTCCATCCCGACAGAAAGGAAAATTCTTGAATTACCAGACGTAAAGGGATTATCGGTATTAACGACGCGAACTAAATCAGGAAGTGTATTTCAGCGATTCTCTAATTACGCGCGATTATTAAAGATTGTAGCTCGATGCCGACGATGGCTTGAAACTAACTCATATAAGGGAGAATTGTCTACTGCGGAAAAAACAGAAACGGAACGATACGTTTTAAGGATCGTGCAAGAGGAACAATTTCACGCCGAAAGAGAAAAATTAAAAAAAGCGGGGGGAGTCAGTAACACAAAACTCGCTGCGTTAAACCCGATCCTTGTCAAAGATTACTTATACCAAGTGGGAGGTCGATTCCGAAGGCAAATTCAATCATTCCAGGAGAAATATACAAAATTATTACTCTTACACTACCACATGATCGATCTCCTTATCCGAAAATTCCACGAACGAAACTTTCACGCCGGTATACAGACTACCCTTTATGCCCTTAAACAACGATTTTGGCTCATCGACTGCAAGAATCGAGTGTAAAGAATCGTACGTTATTGCGTACGTTGCATTCGATTCCGTACATCCAGCATCCGATGTAAAACGGGTGATTTACTGAGCTCGCGAGTACAGGAAGCCATCGCATTCTCCCACGTAGAAGAGAATTTCTTTGGTTTAATCTACGCGAAGGAAAAGAAGTACTGTAATAAGGGCCGCGGTAAAAAATACGGGTGCATCTTCGTCTGTATGACTATAAAGGCTGTACACATCGAATTAGTCAGCGATCTGACTACGGATGCTTTTCTAGCCGCTTTCCGGCGGTTTGTGAGTCAAAGAGCTGTTCCAACTCACGTTTATTCTAATAACGGAACCAACTTCGTCTGGGCTAATAACCAGTTAAAGAAACTATATGCCTTGATCGAGTCGGACAAGTATAAGGCGAAGGTCTATGATTCCGCGGTAGATCGTAGAATCTCATGACATCTCAATCCTCCCCTAATATCTCATTTCAGAGGTTTGTTGGAGGCTGCAGTCAAATCTTTCAATTATCATTTTAGGCGAAATGTGGGCGAACTTCTCTTCGCATACGAAGAGTAGACCACATTCGCTATCAAAAACGAAGCTATTTTCAAATTTACACCTGCTATGTCCCATTTCGTCAAACTTAAATGACTCAACAGCACTAACGCCTGCACATTTCTTTTAGATTAAAGGAACGTTTACGACATTGTCGGAGGAAAATTATATTAGGACTCCAGCTAATCTATTGTCCTAATGGAAACTCATTACAAAGAAACGCTAGAAATGGATCCCACCTCAGTATAAAATCAAAGGAATACCACCATCATTCTCATTGACAAAAGTAAACTATACATGAGATAGCCGTGAAGACGGTTCACGGAGTCGTCAAGAGAAGTGTGACAACTATTTGTCCACTATCAATACGAGTATTAACCGTGAAGACGGTTCACGGAGTTTTCAAGCGCAATGCGAAAACTATTTGTCCATTGTTAGATCATCGTTAATTTTTTATGTTTTCTTGTAGACCCAACGATTCCCTTGTAGGTACAAGGAGATCGCCTGGCCAGCGATTATCCGGTTATGCTGAGCAAGTCAGCGGAGATATGCTGAGCGATTCAGCAAATATGTCGAGCGTCTTATGCTATAAGCGATGAAATGAATATGTTCAATAACCTATGCAGCGAGCGGTATATTTAACTGATTAGGTGACCTAGGTCGAAAGTATTGTAAAATTAATTCTAACAAACGCACAACACCAACACATATATTATGAGTGTTATTGATCGTTACACTCTCAACGGGGGGAGTATGTACGATCCGAAATGATCGTACGGTAATTAGCTGTAGTTAAATCGCGCGCGTCCGATTCTATCGATTCAAACTATAGAACGATACTCATTGCGAGCATCGATACTAGCAACTATCGAAGCGTTCTTATAGTTATCCCCACTTCTCGTATCCCCACTTTCGACACCCCTAGCGCATATGCCCTGCTGGGCCACTACAAAAGGACATTCTTTCATTCCATCACTGGACGCCTGCGAATATATATCTAAATCGAAGGAGTTAAGTTGAAATAGTTAGGAAACGTAAGCGAAGCGAGCGAGAGGTGAGATCTTTCCATTATATACATTTTATATTGACGGTATTTTCCCGCGTGGTAACGCCACGTGGTGGACTCTTATGGTTATAATTTAATATTATCCAGNGCTGGGCCACTACAAAAGGACATTCTTTCCTTCCATCATTTGACGCCTGCGAATATATATCTAAATCGAAGGAGTTAAGTTGAAATAGTTAGGAAACGTATTCTATCGATTCAAACTATAGAACGATACTCATTGCGAGCATCGATACTAGCGACTATCGAAGCGTTCTTATAGTTACCCCCACTTCTCGTATCCCCACTTTCGACATCCCTAGCGCATACGCCCTGCTGGGCCACTACAAAAGGACATTCTTTCCTTCCATCATTTGACGCCTGCGAATATATATCTAAATCGAAGGAGTTAAGTTGAAATAGTTAAAGAACGTAAGCGAAGCGAGCGAGAGGTGAGATCTTTCCATTATATACATTTCACGTCGACGGTATTTTCCCGCGTGGTAACGCCACGTGGTGGACTCTCATGGTTATAATTTAATATTATCCAGGGTGTTTATGCCGCAAGGCTTTTTCCTGACGAGCCAATAAAGCATTGTATCTTTGTTTGGCTCAACCATGTGTTTGATTAATTTTATTCTAATCCGTTCTTCCTCATCCCTAGCAACTAATTACCAGAGGACTCTTAATTGAGGAATCTAGGCCATAACAGTGACCYTTGTTTATATTTGGGACAAACGTCTAACCAAGTTTTTGAGAAGTCTTGTTTATGTTGCGCCTGATATACTAACGACGCCTCTAAGGCGTCTTATTCATTTGGCCCGATATACTTACGACGCCTCTGAGGTTTCATTATAAGCTAAGGGGTTAAATGAAACGAATTTTGTTATTTTTCTTTACCGAATTCGATGCTAACTTTTAAAACTTTGACTTTTACAGTGAAATCTCCTTTTTGCCACGCGCATTGCTGTTCCAAGCGTATTCTGCTGGGTATTCCCACCGATATTTTAAGAATGCGGTTCGCTGATTGTCTCAAGAATAATCTCTTGCTCCTTTTGTTTTTATGCTTGTTGATTTATTTTCGTTACTTATTTGGTTGTGCGGAATGTAATTTCGTTTTTTCCCGACAGAGTATTTCATTGTATTTTTTCGAACCCAACTTCACACTTAAGCCGTATATTCATTATATGTTTTGAGAGCTGATATAGCAAAGCTTGTGTATGATAAAGTTCAAATAATTCTACGCAGTAGTTTTTGGTTGGTGCCCTTTTTAATATGGAAAGTAATAAGCAGCATTTTCGTCTTATTTTCCTTTTTTACTATAGAAAAGGTAAATATGCTGTTCAAGCCAGAAATAAATTAACTGATGTATTTGGAGAGGATGTGTTAACAGTACGCAAGTACCAGAACTGGTTTGCAAAATTTCGATCCGACAATTTTTATGTCGAAGATGCACCACGTTACGGAAGGCCGGTTAAAGCTGATAAAGACACGATAAAGCTATTAGTTAATGCAAATCGGCGAATAACAACACGTGAGATCCGTATGAGGATGAATTTATCGAATTCAAYTGTTTATGACCACTTGAGGCCTGGGTTTAACCTAGAAGCTCGATATATGGGTTCCCCATATTCTCACGGAGAGAAATTTGTGTCGTCGCGTTGACGTCTGTGAAACGCTTCTCAAAAGTCACGAAAATGATCCATTTTTGAAGCGCATCATTACCCGCATAACATAAGAACTTTCTAAAATCTTTCTAAAACATTTCTTGGAAAGCTTTAAGTCTTTCAAAAAGGTTTCTTAAAAATCTTTCTACAAGGTGAAAATGTCTGCGTTCAGAAACTTGCAAAAGATTTCTGAAAAGGTTTTTGAAAGATTTTTTAAAATCTTATCACCATATTTTACGAAAGGTTTCTAGAAAACATTTTTGAGATTTTTTCAAGAAAGACAATTGAGAGCTTCTCCAGCCAGGGTTCACCGACTAAATCCTTCTCACGAATGACCGAATTTTTTTTTTTTGTGGCGTTGTAAGACTGTGGAACATATTACGAAACAGACCCTCTATCCTTTTTTTTTTATTTTAAAAGTTTATTTGCTTTATCAAAAATACATTCTTATTTACATATATAGGTATACTTATAATTAGGCAGCAAATAATACTTAAAAACAGGCCTTTTTGCTCAATTGTTACCAACTAAGGATAACGTTTTTAATGCTTGTCTCCGCGCTTGGAGCTACTTACATTAATTAACACTTTATTTGTATAGCATTGCACAGAATTAGACTACAGAAAACAATACTCTCTTTGGTTTCGTTTAACTAGTATTAAGATTATATTCTAAGAGAAACTAATTAACCTAGTGATGAAAAAGGTAAATTAAAATGAAAAAAACATCACACCGACTATGGTAATATTAAAAAAAAAAAAAAAAGAAAAAGAAAAGGAAAAAAAAAAGAAGATATGTTTGTAAAACACTAAGTAATCAACTATTTGGTATATTCATTTTTGTTTTATATCACATTGCTTATCACTATATTTAGGTATTAAAAGTAATATGACTTTATAATTAGCTATTCAGTCTTCTTAGTTCAGTCCAGCCTTTCTTCCGTCTCTCTAATAGTTCTTTTCTATGTGCTGGCTCTCYAGTTAGCTACCAGTATCTATTATTTAGTCGCCTGAAGTCCATTCTGTCGCAGTCTGGGATTGCCATACAGTAAATCCAGTTTGTATTTGGCGAGACAACGTCTTCAGGCCTTAATTCTATTTTTTTGTTGGCTTGATGTCGGCGCCAATGGTATATCACTGGCCGGTTGTTGGCGTCCTGAATCACTCCGATTTTGTCGTAATAATTAAACGCCTGTGGTAGGATGCATGTTGAGTTTTGGTTCCTGGTCACTACCGTCTCGTCCTCTATCATCGCCTGTTTTTTTATTTCGTTTTTGTACTATCTGATAGTTTGCTTAAGTAGACTCTAGTCAATTTAATGATAAAGTTATCAATTCGGGGGATCCCTATCATATTGTAAAGTACCCTATTGCTGATGCCCTTCTTATAATTCGACTCGCTTGTTCGATAGACCCCAAGGCACGCTCTCAAACACTTTCGCTCGAATGTTCTTATTCTTTCCATTAGAGACGCACTGGTGTTCCACCACATGAAGGCCGCGTAGGTCAGTATTGGTCTGATTAATAGTTGGTAGCATATGACCTTGGCTCTACTATTTAGTCCTCTTGCGTGGAACAGTCTATTGTTTGCCTTCAATGATGCCTGAGCCTTGTTCAGTTGAGTCTCTAGATGCCCGTTAAGTTTGGCAAGTTGTTCGATGTGCACTCCAAGATATTTCACCTTGGTTTTATGTGGAATTTGAATTGCATCATTTGTAGTTGGGTCTAGTGCCGTTATTCTAAACTCTTTTATGTTACATTTTTGGGAGCTGCTCAGGTAATCGCAAGTCCTTCTGAGTAAAGTGGTTTCACATTTTTGGTGGCTTACTCTTAAGTTCCACATCTTGTAGAATCGGTCGATTTTTTCAAAGAGCTCCTGGAGCTGCCCTCTGATCTTGTCTGGCGTCTTTCCGGATACACATACAATCACGTCGTCCGCGAAGGCTATATCTCGTTTATTTTCCTTGTTGAGGTTGAATGCCTTCAATAAGGATAGTGTAAAAATCACAAAAAATAATGGGGAGGAGACTGTGCCCTAGGGTGGGTCAAAAAAATAACGTTTTTTTTTTTCAAGTGCCACGCAAAAATGGGTTCCTAGACACCTTAAAAGAATTCTCACCCGAATATTTGTAGTAAGCCTATACGCAACAAATTCGAACMAAACAATATTCATAGAAGAACTCAACCAACTACTGACAAAAATACMAGCCGAGAGCCARGACTGTGCATTTATAATAGCTGGAGACTTTAACGCAAGAAGAACCGAATGGGGTGATCACGCTGACAACGAAAGAGGCAAATACCTGAGAAAATKGGAGTACACCGAAGCCAATAAGTTTSGAGKAAAAATATACTMAACCACAACACCAACACGCATGGGCAGCTTAACWTACTTGGACATCTGCCTAACTAGCCTCCAAATAATAGATCTGGTAAACGGAAGAATAAAGAYACGATCATACGACAGCAACCACCAAGCCCTTTAGTTCATGGTGAAASTGCCAAACGTTGCAGAAATTGATAATGTGAGAAATGAAAAACACAAATACAACTATAAGGCAAMAAAATGGGGCAAATTTGAGAAAMAATTGCWACGGAACTACACATCCAAAATCCCGGACAACAGAAACCTGGACATTGATGAAATAGACAGCAGCATCTCTGAATTGAATAACGCAATACTAGCAACCATAGAGCAGACGGTACCAAGATTCAAGCCTCATAATAACATAAACAAATACCTTAACACAAAAATAAAAAAACTGCAAAAAAGAAAAACAGAGTAYCTYACAATACTACACAAGATGCAGCGAAACAACCCARCCGCATGGCGTAGAGAAATAATAATAGCTAAGATAATTATCAAAGTAAGTAAAGAACAATTGAGAA